GGAAGAAAAAATGAAAAAGTTTTAAAAGCAATTTCAGTTAGCATGACCAACTAAGTAAATGATGATTGCTAAGCAGAACTCTTGGGGCATGCCTACAGAGGCAGGGCTAAAGCCAAAACAAGCTATACAACTTGAGCTATGTCAATTGCATAGCTTGTCGAAAATAGCTTATTTTAGCTTTTGGCCCTGTCTACACAGCTGGAAGTCCAAGAAAGAGCAATCTTCCTCCGACTTCCCTTACTTCAACTCTTGTAATCCCCATTTTACAAGGAGTTAAGAAGTCCTCCAGCTCAACATTTTGACATTATGTTGAAATAACTGCTTGTAGTGTAGATACAGAGATAACACTGCTGTTATTTCAAAATAACTCTGCTGTGTAGACATACCCTTACAGAATAGCAATTAGTTGTGATCAATATAATTTACATCTTAAAATTTACTTTGTGTCAGCATTGCATTACAGAATTTTAATGTCAAAATCACATAACGTGGTTTAGTAATTTGTCATGTATTGCCAGCTTGTCCACACGGTCTGGAACCCGGTTTTGTGTGGGATGGTGTTTGCCCTCTCTGTAGATAGATGCCAGATAGTCCAACTGACTTAATTTACAACTTTTATAATTAGTGTTGCCAGGCATCAGTTTTTTTACAAGAAGACCTGGTTGAAAAGGGTGGCTCCAGTGCACACTAGTCACCAGGCTATTAAAATCTGGTTGTTGGTATAGCAGGGCTAAGGCAGGCTCCCTGGATCTGTGGCTCCCAGAAGCAGCCAGCATATCCCTGTGATCTCTGAGCACAGGGTTGATCAGTGAAGCTCCATATACTGCCTTTGTCCTAAGTGCTGGCTCTGCAGCTCCAATTGGCTGGGAACTGTGGGGATGGGTGCCTGGAGGTGTGGGTTGCATGTGTTATGCAGTCACCAGGCGTCCCCTGTGTTTAGGAGCTGTACATGCGCGCTTATGCAGAGCCAGGGTGGACTGGGAGCTGCCTGAGGTAAACACTGCATGGCTGGAGTCTGCAGCTCAAATCACCTCCTGCATTCCAACTCCCTTGTCCCCATTTGAACCGCCTCCTGAACCCCACATCTGTAGTCCAGCTCTGAGCCCCCCCTCCCACACCCAAACTCCCTCTTAGTGCCTCACACTCTCTCCCACACCCCAGCCATCCATCTGCATTTGTTTCCTTAATGGGCATTTTTAGTAAAATGAAGCATCAGAATATAGAATAAGGGTTTTTGTTGTTGTTGTTGTTGTTGTTTTGTGTGTGTGTGTGTGCCCCGTGCATGCGTGTGTGCATGGTAGTTGAATAGTTTGCTATTTCTGTCACCGGTGTAAACTTGAATTTGGTATTTTGCATACAGTGGGCTTCACTTTTCCATAGAATTTAATTTAATCTTAGAAATCCAAATTCTCTGGTTTTGGGATGCACTGTTTTTAGTCAAATATTAATACTTCCTCTATGCTCTAGTACCCTGATATTAGTCATTCATTGTGACTTCTGGTTGCCTGAATTAAGTTACTGTAAAATCATAGATTGTTTGCATGCACAAAGGCAAATTGTATTCGTTCTCTTCCTAGCTGTGTAAATTCTCCTTTAACTAAACTGGTTGTCTTTCCCACATGTAGAGATCTATTTAACCATTGTGAACATAAGATTTCTCAGTTTGAATCTTTGTCTTGAGCATATTAAAAGTTCTAAGGAATCTTCTGAAAACTCAGTGTTCCATTAATTATGATACTGTTTACATATGCCTCATACCACATCCACTCTTCAGAGCAGAGTAGAATGCAATGTGTTCTAATTACCTCACTTGTGTTCAAAAAGTGTACACATTTTGAAATGTGGATTCCAGGTATCTCAAACTACTGTTGAATAGCCACTAAAAATAATCATTTTCCATACTTAGAGGTACAGTATAAGGCTTTTCATAATACGAGTTAGCAAAGGCATGTGGAATTGGGAAGCCTTGGAAAGCCATCTTTTCTATAAGTTTTCACATAATTTTTCAACTACATACAGTATTACTAGCAGATGTTCCAAATAAGGAACTTTTCAATAACCTTTGAGCCTTCTGAGCAACCATGGGATCCCCATATAACTTTTACTGTATTGTTGTACTTTCCCTCATATGCTGCTGTAATTTAGGAGTAACTCCAATGATGTCAGCATATTTTCACTGATGTGAAAGAGGTGCAAGTGAGAGGCAGGCTTGTCCAGTGGTGAGAGTGATAACCTGAAATGAAGGAAATATGGATTCAATTCACTGCTTTGCTGCAGACACCCTGTCACTTACAGGTTTTTAAATGTATATAGTTAGGGATGTGAAAGGTTAACCAGTAAGCATCATCCGGAACGGGTGATGCTTACCATTTCTGGTTAACTGGTGGGGACTGGAACAGTTCTCACATCCTTGATGCGTGCCCAGACCTCCTCTGAGCCAGGCCCCCACCAAGTGCTGGGCTGCCTTCCTCCCCCATCCCCAGCCAGGCTGCACCAGGTAAGTTTGCTAGTAATCTATAAAGCTTTTATACTTATTAAAAGTGTGGTTTTGGAACAGAGAAAATAGACTTTGATTCCACGGTTGTTGCTATTTTTTTTTCTTCTGAATCACACTTTCATGTCCATGAATAAAGCTGGAAGAACAATTCCCCACAAAATGACTTATCCAACGAATTCAGCTCTCTTCCTTTAGTCTGAAAACAGGAAATTTGGCAAACCTTTGCTCATAGAACTATGCTCATGTGAGTGTTGAGGGTGCACAAGTGATCAAAGTGTCAGATATTTTACATCTTTAATATTGAAGTTTGTTGCCATATAAGCAAGTTACTTTTGTGTCTGATCTTTGATGAAGTATTATTCTCACTGATTTCAATTTGAGCAATGACAGCTGGGCCTTGACCTAAAAATGTAGGAAGTTATTTTGTTTTCTGTTGGCATGTTAGCTTAGATATTTTTTCTATGTTGCTGGTAGTTTACTAAAGGTAGAAGATGTCTGAAGTTTTTCACTATACTACACACTCATAATTGGCTTCACATTGTAATGTCTCTTTTCCCTATTGATCAGAACTTGTGCTTGGCCTTTCTGTTTCTTCTGTTCTCCACCCATAAGGCTGTATTATTTCAAATAATACCTATTTTTCTATATTTGTCTTATTTAGCTATTCCTTTGCAGAGGTCATTACATATTCTACAGTGCTGAATATCTTGTAAAAAATTATTTTGAAAGAATACACAGCTTTAAATAACTTCTGTAGTGCTTTGCTTTTGTTAGCTTCCAGTGAAAAACAACCTGAACATATCACCATGTTTTCAGGTTTCAAAGACGTAGCTGTCTTAGTCTGTTTCAGCAAAAACAACAAGGAATCTGGTGACACTTTTAAAGACTGACACATTTATTAGGGTATACTCACTCTGATGCTGAAGAGAAAAAGAAAAGGACATCAGTTTTAAGTTATTTTAATTTGTGCATTTTAGTATCTTGGAGGCTCCCATTTTTCACACTGTGTCATTGTTCAAATATAAGAATGCTCTATTGGCACCTCAAATGACACTTGATTATTGCTTTGATGTAATAATAATATTTTATCTATGTTTCACAATTATACTGCAAGGAAGTCTCAAGTTACTGTGTTTATTTACCATCTTTTAATACCTTGTTTCTGCCAAACTTAAGATAGCACTTACTTTTTGAAGTTGATTTTAGTTCAGTGAATAATGGCTTAGCCCATAGTCTTGTAAAGAGGTCATTAGGCAAAACATTGTGCCCACCGGAGCTCCATTTAAGATGATGGAGGCCTGTACGGGTGCAAGAGTTCATCGATGTGCACCTTATTGAAAGTTAAGGGCTGTAGATATGGAAGAAATAAAGTTCTGAAGCATGCAGAAATAACATTGTTTTAGGGTAATGGTAAACCAAATGTTTGAAGATGTTGCTCAAAAATGGATCTCCATATATTGGAGCAGATACCTATGCAGGGGTCCTCTCTCCCCTGCCAGGGACAGTGAAGGATGCCATTGTAGGCCTTTTCATTGCCATCAGGAAAAGGATACAAAAAGCTGTGTCTCAATTTCCCTCCAAGAGGGAAGAACTGCTCCGTCTGCCTGGCTGCCCTCTTTCTACACCCTTTCTCCTACCTGGTGAGCACTAATCTGTGGAGCCTAGGTCCCTGCTGCCCCTTAACTTCAGTCCCTGCTTTCATGTAACTTGTCTCTTCCCTGCAGGACCCTGTCCCCTGCTTGCTCATCTGTGCCCTCTCCCCCATCCCCTCCAGATTTGTTGTGCAGATGCAAATAAAATCCAGATTGTGGATTGGATGAGGAGTTGAGCCTGGCAGATGTGAATTGGATGTGTATCCACATTTTTATATCTGTGCAGGGCTCTGCTCAAAAGAGCAGGTGGGAATAGAATAGTGTTCATAATTCATTAGTTAAATGGAGCAATTCTAAATAAAGCCTCAGAGACAAAATATTACAATAGCGTCATTTCATTTAACGCTGTAGGATCTGAATATTGATATGGTACATGCTGATCCAAAGCTGAGACTACTAGCTTGATATCATGCATTATTTATCTTGTTTCTTGGTTGCTTACTGCTCAGTTATTTCTCCACCCTCTGATGCCAACATTAGTGAGTGAATTATATATATGGTGCCATCCTGTGTCATACCCTATTGATATTAGAGATTTGGGATGGTCGTTGCATTAATAATGGTATTAATGAAGCCTAGTCTACTGACCTATATTGTGTACAGAGCAAGTCACTTCCTGCAGTTGGACAGAATCTCTCACTGTGGACTTTTTAGAGTATCTGGCACAGTCATTCAGTTTAATTTTCCATTTAAAGCTGCCTTCCAGAATACAGTGCATATGTGTGTGCATCAGCCTGAAACATAAGTTAGAACTCAAGGATGGGACTGGATTTTAGGTGAGTGATGCTACCTCAGCACAGTTGCCTAATAAATGCATAAATACACCATCATGAACATGCTACATAAAATAAAAATATGGAAGCTTCTTAAAGTATAGATTAGGTAGGCATGAAACTTGTTCTAAGTCAAGGTTGTATCATTTCATACAACAAAACATACTAAAACGTTTTCTTCTTTTTAGTCCAAGTGGTAAGAAGTTCAGAAGCAAGCCTCAGTTGGCAAGATACCTGGGAAACACTGTTGATCTCAGCAGTTTTGACTTCAGAACGGGAAAGATGATGCCTAGTAAATTACAGAAGAACAAACAGAGACTAAGGAATGATTCTCTCAATCAAAATAAGGTTTGTTAATAAATAAACTGTGTTTAAGTGTATCTATGCCACTTGAGATCCTACATTTTTTTCTTTCCTCTAGAGCATTTATCAGTTTTCCTGCTTAAAGCAGCTTGCTGCTCAGGGATATGTTTCTGTGTATGCTGATCTTTTTAGTTGTAATGGAGTTGTATATTTTTATGAGTAGAAGAAATATTCTGCTACTACAATGAAAAATTAAAGGGAGGCTAAACCTGGTACATCAATTTAAACAATAATTCAAGAGTTGGCACTTATGTGTGATTGAGAACAAATTTCAGTAGTGTTCATCTGATGAACAATAAGGCTGAAAGCACATTTCTAAATTAAACCAGTTAAGTTAGTCAATATCAAGAGATTATCCTGTTTACTTGTCCATCTTTAGCCCTTGTTTAGCCCATCTTCCTGTTCTGAGCTAAAATGTTTCATATTATTTCGTATGTGCCAGGAATCTTGTCTTTCGAGGCATTACACAATATGTATACAGACCTTGGTGGCTTTTAAAATTATGCATCCAAAAGAAGCAATTTTTTTAAAGAGGGGATCTGTGAAAAGAGACCTCATCAGGCTTTTTAATTAATAAGAAGATGCACTTCTCTTTGGCGTAAAAAGGAAGGAGAGAGCTAAAGCACACAGAGGCAAAGATAATAGATGCAGCAATATTTTCATTTATATTGGCATCTATATTTTAGACATAATAAGCTGCATCTGGCTTCCAGGACATGCGTTCACAAGATTAAATTAATGGCAGATGATAGAAGTCATGGACCACACAGTTCTTGCTGATCGCTTACATATAATGAATGCTTTAAAAACCCAGAAACCCACAGATATGCCCTTTTTTCAAAATGATTCAATGAGTTTTGCAGAATTGTATATATTAGTCTGGACCACATTCTGATATTAACACTGAACAAATTGAGAGCAATGCTCTTGAAATCACAGAAACTATCCTGGGTTGAGTTCAGTGTAAGCGAGATCAAAATCTACCCTACTATTTTTACTAAGTTTCTTAATCAAATATAACTTGTTAATATCCTGTACTGTTTAAAATCAGTACTTTGAGGGCTGCTAGATTTTTCTTCAGTGGTTATTTCAATAAAAAGGACTTTAAATTTCATTTTGAATTTTTCTATTTGTGAGTTCTCTTGCATAGTTGTTAAAGCAGAGAGATATGTGGAGTTCATCTTGCAACTGAATTCCTATACTATACCTCTAACAGATTTACCTTGCCATGTTTGTGTATAAATTTATTCATACATACTGTACTACTTGTAAGCCTTGTACAGTTTACCATAAGTGGTTTCTAAATTATTTGCCTATTTTATATCTTTTGCAAGGGAAGATGTATAAATCTGCAGCTAATCTGTTGTTCTCAACCAGACTGACACAATTAAATACGTATATGACGGCAATGAACTAGTCCTGTCTGTTTTTGCCATTTTTTTTCTCTTCCATCTTAAACTTAATATGTTAGTTGAGTTTTATGGTATCTTTAGCCTGAAACCAGCATGTAGATATTACAAATAAGTTCTTTTCTCCTTTGTACTGTTAGCATTTATTGGTCACTTACAATCTGTCATGTTGTCTTCTATACAAATTGCAAGGCATCCCTGATTAGGTATCAGTGCACTTAATGAACATACAGAGTTAGCATTAAAAACTGCTTGATTGGTGGACTTTGTGAAGGGAGGGGAGACGAGAATTTTTTCTTCAAACTTACAGTAATCTTTTCAAATTTTATGCCTTTAATTTGGAAATTTTAAGTATTTGAAACTATTCTGTTGATTTGAAAATTCCTGAGGAGAGAACTGAATAGAAGAATCAGAGTAGTTTTGAACAAGAACCAATAAATGCAGTTGTTGGTTACTACTGTTATGATGTAAAAATGTATTACGCAACCCTTTTGGATTTGTGGTTGGCTTTATTTTGAAAAAAAAAAGCACATTTATATTATAAGTGACCTAACGATCACCTGGCTGGAAAGATTTGGAACTTTCTAAATCCAATTGAGTAAGAAGTTTCTTTTCCAGAAGGACCTCCTAGAAAACAATTCTACTAGCATAGAAACATTATGTAAGGAAGAATACAGCTGGATGAAGTATATTTGTGGCACAATGAGGCATTGACATGCTTGGCAGATGATGTAATATCTTAGTTCCTAGAAGGGGAAAAGGATTTTATTTGGAGAGAGCTGCTTTTAAAGGATGTCAATCAAACAGTAGCAGAGTTTGGCAAAAGAAGTCTTTGGCATTTAAACCCATTCTGATTAAGAATATTGAGATTTTTATAATAGGTATATTGGTAACCGAATACCTTAACTTAATTTGTCTTAAATAAATAAATGTTGTTTATTAGACCACTTATAGACACGGTTACATTTTACTTTGTTCTTTATCATGAAGGATTCCAAAGCACTATATGAATTTCAATCAATCTGTAAAATACACCAGGATGCAATTATTTAAGTGTGATCCCACATCATGAAATGAACAATGGATGAATTCTAGTTTATAGTTTCATTAAAAATTCTCAGTTTGCACGCTGAAAATCAGCTAAACACTGTACTGCCTAATCGTAATGAATTAGGATTTTTTGAACATCCGGAAGTATGCTGAGAGTTGTACTGAAACAAGTAAAGCTGCCCCACTGAAGTCAGTGAGAGACTTCGAGGGGACTTCCTCCATAGCCTGATGAAGTTGGTAGAATTACAGTTATGACATTAGAAGTAAAGATATTAAGGCCTCCAAAAGCAGGGTAGGAAGAGGATGAGAGCATGGTTACAGACTACTTTTCAAGTGATTCACACTTCACTTGAACAGTTTGACAGACACCTGCTAGGTATCAGGCTAAATCTAGGAAATGGAGCCTGGGAGCTTACCAAGGATGGGGCACCATAGGACACCACAGGAATTTGAAACTCAGACCAATCCTTGCCGACTTCAGGCGAGCTAGGTAACTGGTAAATCTTACGCTTTCCTATAGTTTAAACTTGTTTCACTTTTCTCTGAAACTGTCGGTCTAAAACATTTATTTTTTAAATGTAATGTTAACAACTCTAGTTCTTATAGCTCTTATCTAATTAAGTTCCTCAGAAAAAACTTTCTATTCACTGCTTTTGAGTGTATGCATGGATTCTGTATGAATTTTATCACATACAAAAACACACAATAGCTTGTTATTTGCCTCTTACTGGTGTGCTAGAGTATCACAGTTTGATTTGTTTATCCCTGTTTGACAATTGAAAGATATCTAAAGAAAAAGATCTTTAAAATAAAATTTAGAACTAGAATGAAATGAAATATTACACAGTAATTACTCAGTCCATTTCATTTCACTGAATAATTTTGTGAGGAATACTTTCCTTTTTTTAAAAAAAATAAGGAACTCACGTTGTATGTGTGATTTGTTGGGTCACACAGATCTCCTGGAGACCGTCACCTGATGGGCTCATCAAACCATTGAGCTTGCCTACCTGTCCTATGGGATACTCCAGCACCCTGCCCTACTGAGCCAGAAGCTCTGGTCTCTTCCAGCAAAGGCACAGACTTGGGGTAACAGTCCTCTGGCAGAGTAACACAGATGCTGAAACAGCTCACCTCTGGTGGGATCAGACCCCCACATAAATCCATCTCACTCTGTATAAAAGTTTTACATGGAGAAAGATTCTAAAGTTTGCTCCCCTTTATCAGTGAAAAAGAGAGATTCACAACCATAGTTCCGCTCCCCCAGGTAACAGTTATTTACAGTGGATTTGAAAATAAACAAGTGATTCTATTAAGTATAAAAAGTAGGATTTAAGTGGTTACAAGTGATAACAGACAGATCAAAGTAAGTTACTAACCTAAAATAAAGCAAAATATGCTGGCTAAGCTTAATACTCTAAG